TTGGTTTCCCAGTTTTGCATTTCACATCATCTGGTATCAATTTAAGTATTTTACCCCCTTGTGGTTGTCAAGGTGTAGCGGCCGTTTAAGAATCGGTTAAAACTAACGGAGAGTGCAACTCACTCTCCCAAATTGAGTGCATTTCACTCGCCCAATCCCTAAACATGTAATTTTTTAAATTAAGGGACCAAATTGAAAACATTGTTGAAACAAATGGTTAAATTGAAACTTTTTAAAACTTAATTAAAACCTTTTCTTTCTTCAGAAGATTCGCCGCACGCACACATACCCCCAACCTTTCACCTTATCCCCCGGCGACGCCAACACGCACATACACTCCTTCAATCTTTCTTCTTTCCTTCAGAAAATCCGCCGCACACCAACCTCCGCAAATCTCATTTGAGGGATGTATTTCTCTTTATCCTCTACGATTCAACTTTCCAAAGCCGAATCCCAGTTTGCAGGTTCAAGTACGGAAAATGGAGAAAAAAAATGGTGATTAACATCCGACGACGTTAGCAATTGAAAGGAGAAGAAGAGAATGGAGGATTGTTGTGGAGATAAGACAGTGGAAGAAAATAGGTAGTGGAGGATGTGAACGGAGAAGAAGGGAAGGGATTGTGAACGCTTGAACGGAGAAGATGATGATTAGGATTCGGGTTTCCAAGAAAGTCTGAAAATTTGTAGTTTAACCCTATGGATTTGGGTTATTTATAATGAAATCATAGTGAATTTACATTTTTCCATAAAAGGAAAATATTAGAGTTTAGTCATGCTTTTGACCTGTAAATTGTAGAAAAATAAAAGGGTATTTCAGGTATTTAATATTTTCCGTTAGTTAATTGGATGGCTGCTACAAATGGATCGGATAACCACATGGGGTTTAATTGCCTAAATTGATACCAGAGGGGGGTGAAGTGCACAAAGGTGAAACCACAAAGTGGTTAAGTGCTATTTACCATTAACAACACGAATTCAAGTAACACAAAATTGAAGGAAATAAAAAAAAACATAAACTTTATCTCTTAATTCAGAGTTGTAACATATAAAATTCAATTAAATATTACAAATAAGAAAACGCGAAAGGCACAAAACACGATATAAAGATAATTATGTGAAATCATTTAAAACATATGGTATAACTCTATTTCGTGGAATCCAATTTACAACACCATGTCAATCTTCTGCAAAATAACTAACTTAACAACAAACACGGTAGCAGAAAAGTAACATAATAGATATTCAAATAATCTGTAAGTTTATCACCAACAACGTTCAATTAGTGATGAACATTACTCAAACAACAGTACAACTTATAAATATTGCAAAAGAGATAAGATGTATACGCCATTATTGATACCAATGATGATACCAATACCGATACCAATACAGATATCAATATTGATACTAATACTGATACTAATTAATATCGATACTAATACTAATACTAATATTAATATTGATACACATACTAATATTAATTTACTAATGATATACTAATACTAATACTTTTACTAATCGTAATCCTACAAATACTAATGATAATATTAATATTAATATTAATACTAATACTAATACTAATACTAATACCAGTACTAATACCATGCCAATACTAATGTTAATAATGATACTAATATTAATATTAATGTTAATACTAATACTAATATTAATACTAATTATAATAATACTAATACTGATATTGATATTCGTCACTGATACTCGTACTAATAATTATACCGATATTAATACTAATACTAATACTAATACTAATACGAATACTAATACTAATACTAATATTAATACTAATACAAATAGTAATATGAATACCAATACTAATAGGGATACTAATACTAATAATAATGCTGATAGTGATAGTGATACTTATACTAATACTGATAGTGATACCAATATTCATACTGATACTGAAACTAATATTGATACCGAAACTGATACTGATACTGATACTGATACTAATAACGATACTCATACTAATACTATAGAGATACTGATATTGATACTGATACTGATACTAATAATGATAATGATAATGATAATGATACTGATAATGATAATGATAATGATAATGATAATGATAATGACCGTGATAATGTTACTGATAATATTACTATCAATACTAATATAAATACTTAATATTCAATATTAATACTAATATTAATACTAATACTAATACTAATACTAATACTAATACTAATACAAATACTAATACTAATACTGATACTCAATATTGATACTAATACTAATATTAATACTAATTCTAATACATATATTAATTCTAATATTAATACTAATATGTTAATATTGTTAGTGTTAATGCTAATTTACATGTACTAATGGTAATATTAATTTTTATGTCAATGTTAATCTGGATATTCTAATGCTAATTATAATTGTAATCGTAATAATATCCAAATCCTTATCATATTCCTAATCTCAATCATAACATTAAGACATAGAAAGAACAATAATCTTGGATAAATTACAAAAATCCCCCTAAACTTAGGCTAAATTACGAAAAGGCCCCCACCCATCGGTAATTACAGAGATCACCCTGATGTTTGTTTATGTCTTACATGATCCCCTTATGGTGTGATTTTTTTACGGAATCTTTTTTATTCCATGTAATTCCCTAGAAAATGTGGATTCTACCCCTACAACGTGGGATTTCTTTTATCCCAACGTGGCATTTCTTTTATCCTACTGTTTAAACACAAAAATTACCCTAAGGGGAGGTAATGTTAATGCTAAAAAAATGTGAATGTGTTATTTAAGAAGAATAAAGATTTCGCGTAAAGTTCCCCGAAAGATAACTATCAAAATAAAATATTAAATATCAAATAAATATTTGCAAACTTTTTTTGATATTTTTAGGGTGGAGTTGCTCTAAATATATACCTAATAATATATTTCGGTGTTATAGCGGAATATAGTATATAGTACATGCCATCATTATACATTTTAAACATACCAATTGATTATTATTGTACACACCGCAGGGAAAAAAAAAACCAGTGTCAATTGCCGCAACATAGTAAATTCAAACATGTATCTTTTTTTACACAGATAATACTAATATATAATAATAAATTAGGGAAAAAAAAAAGACATATTCTTTCATCATGGTCTTATAAAATGTATAAAATCATATGATTTAACCTACAATACTTTTTTAATACAAAAATTTATGTTACAACACAATCATGGAATTACAATAACTGACATTTAAAATTTTAAAATAAATAGGTATGACGATAAGAAATGTAAATTTAAATTTCACAAATGACAACAGTAATAATGGTAAGTTGACACAAATCATGTCATGCCATGCACATAAAATTGTTTGACTAACGCCTGGAATATTGCATGTGTTAAGTAGTGGTCTCGACATCTACGTAAATGTGGTTTGCATTTGAAAAACAAAATGGTGAGAAAAGTAGGGCATATTTGTTACTTAAAT